GGCAGGTTGTTCCACTGGTTAATTGTTCTCACTGTCAGGAAGTTTCTCCTTAGTTCTAGATTGCTTCTCTCCTTGATTAGTTTCCACCCGTTGCTTCTTGTCCTGCCTTCAGGCGCTTTGGAGAATAGCTTGACTCCCTCTTCTTTATGGCAACCCCTGAGATATTGGAACACTGCTATCATGTCCCCCCTCGTCCTTCACTTCATTAAACTAGACATACCCAATTCCAGCAGCCGTTCCTTATATGCTTTAGCTTCCAGTCCCCTAATCCCTGCAGTTGACCGTAAGAGTAGGTGGCTTGCCAAGCACCTGAATTTTGTTCATGTGACCATGGGGGTGCTTCAGCGGCCATAAATTCAGCAGGGGCTCATAAGTCCCTTAATTCAGCACCATTGTAATTTCAAATGGTCACTGGACGAAGGGACTACCTACCTGTAAGGCATGACATCACACACAGACTTGATTATCAGATTCCGCAGTAGGTACAATGATACACCTGATTTCTTCTTCAAATGAAGTGATTATCACTTTTATTACACACAAACATATAGCTTTGGATCATTTTCTTCAATAAATCAATGAACAAGTATAATGTTTTTGCAGGATTATTGGCTGAGCCCCAAGTTGTGCTGCTACACATTGGGGCAAATTCTGTCTGAGCTGTCGGGTTAGTTGTTATTATGGCATTGTACAAATTGGTCATCTGTGCATCCGCTTGCTGCTGGTGTTGCAACAATGCTACTGCCAGATGCTCAGCAGATAGTGGAGTTCCTTGGAAATTGGAAGCCATTCCTGAAATTCTTCTCTTTGGAAGAGAGTAGGAAACTTGCAAAATTGATGTTGATTTCATGAGATAAACCAGATAATCATGATCAGATTACCTACTTCTACTTTATTGTAAAGCTATATTGACAAAATCTTTCAACTGAAAATATATTCAAAATAATGTATGAATGTGAATATTTTTTATCATTTCAGCAAGGATTTTTAAGTTGCTAATTAAAAATTCTGGTATGATAGCTTTATTAAAAATACATCTTGAGCATCCTGAATGCTTAGTTCTGCAAATCATTTGTGCAATTTTTATCTGTTGATTGCAAAACTTGTACTATAATGCAATTGTGGGAAGAATCCAGAAAAAGAAATATTTTGGGAAATATTAAAAAGGCAGAATATATTTCCTCAAAGGATTTTAAAGGCAGAAACCAACCCCCCCCCAATCTCTCTGCCCCAAACAGAAACCAGGTCTGCAGAAATGCAGATGTGATAATCTTGTCAGAAAGATCGGAGTCAGGAAGCTTGGATTAGAAAGAAAGATCCCTAGAGTCAACAATCCCTCACACCAAAAAATCCAACAGTCATCAGCCACACCCCCAGGGAAGCAGGATATGACCTTTGGGACATAATAGGGTTAACCCACCACCATCAGAATACCAGAAAGGCACACTCAGACTCAGGTCAAAGTTCATGCCACAGGAACAACTCCAAACAAAAGCTCAAGAAGGTATAAAAAAACCCACTCCCTACTACATGTGGTCAGTTTTTCCAGAGCCATCTTTCTGTCTGGTTCTCCTCTTCAATAAACTACAACCTTCTTTCTAAAGTAGTCTCCATGTTTGTTTATTCCCGGCTTGGACTGGACCCTGATGAAGATTTTCTTTTCAACACAATTATTACTAGAACAAGAGGATTTTTTTTTTCAAACTGGCACTAAGTGGCATGTATTAATAGTTGCACAATTGTATTTGTGATGGCATTAAAATCTCTCATGAATAATTTATTTGTATAATAAAACTGTATGTTTAAGATAACTATTACAGCCATTAATGATTATTTAAATGTAACAAGTATAAATTACATTTCATCTGAATCTGATAAATGAGTCCTGTAGTGGAATCTGGAGCTGAAGTGAGGGGAGAAGTTAGGAGACTGATTAGCCTGGAAATGTGGAGGGGGTGGAGCAGCGGAAAGCACACCCTCCCTTAAACTTGCAGTGTTTATCTAGTAGTTTATCTAGTCAGTGCATGAATCTGGCAAGATTCCTGTTAATAGGCAAGTGGCAAAAACATACCATTCTGACCAGCTACCTGTGTCATCCTTGTTCCTTGCATCTGACAGTTCAATAATATTTTATAACTGTAAAAATAAGAGTTTTTCTTGGACGTTTACAAACAAAATACAACAATAATTGTTAATTGCAGTTCTTGCCTAGGTTAAAAGTTAAAATAATTGTCCAAGATGTTATGCATAACATAAAAATACTTTAAAATGAGTATAACAAGTTATTTACTTGTTATTTATGCATAGTATGCATAACAGCATAAAATACTTTAAAATGAGTATAACAAGTTATTTACTTACAAGTAAGCATCCAATAGAGTCACATGCCTTGAATTAATCTTAAATGATTTTTAAAATAATTTAAATTTACGATGTGGCTGTCCTTTATTTTCTGCATACAGGGAAAGAGTGTTTAAGTGTATTTGTGAAAGAATATATTTTGCATAAATAGTTCCTGTTAATTTGCTATTTTTAAAATATTTCTGAGTTCATTCTTGTTGCCATGACAATTTCATTTTCATAA